AAAAAATAGCGCCTTTTAAACAATGAGCATTCTAATTTTGCTGTTGAAATAAAAGCTGAAATACTAACCGCTAAAAAACAAATTATAATCATTAAACCTAATCTAAACAGTTTGCATGTGTAAACTAAAATGTATTATACCTATTTTGACAGAAAATACAAGTGTTGTAGCTATACTTACAAACTCATTAAACATCTCAGAGGAAAGAGAATGGATATAATGTGAAAGTTTTACAGCACGGTCAAAGAGAGCAGAAGTGGATATCTGACAGTTTGTGCTCCCAATTGAGCATATTGGTTGTGATGCCACCCCCTTTCCTGCTAGTAATATGCTGGATCCTGCAAACACTAACATCATCACACCTTAAAAAAAAACAAAAAGAAAAGAATCATGGTATAAATAAATGAACAAATGAAAAGATTAGGGAAAAGAGAAAACTTTGAAGTAGCAAAGAAAATTAGTTTTCTTTACAGTGAACTTGACATGCTGGCTTTATTGCAACATGAATCATTTTCATGAATCTCCATCTTAAAATATATATTTGTCAAAAATGTCCTAGAAATTTACATACACATGTTTTATGTACAAAGCACTGTGACAGCTGCCATTATTGATAAAAAGTATTTCATAAACATGTCTAAAAACTAAATGAAAAAATATGTTCAAGCTTGGTTTTGATATTTTAAGAAAGCTTATGCACTGAATATACATCAAATAGAATTCTAGCCTGTGATCAAGATAGCCCCATTTTATGTATTTTCTAACAAATAAATGAAAAGTGTTGTGTATGAAATTAGACATTACGTTCAAAGTAATTTTCTGCATTGAGGGAACAATAAAGGTTCTTATAAGTGTAGAAATAGCTAGCAATGCATGAATCAAAATATACCTTTAAGTGATATGGCCATCAGATCAGTCATTGTGGAGCACGCTACACCCAGGAGTAGACCGACTTGTCTTTCTGCTCAATATTTGCTGTGTTTATGTACTTGGACACCTTTGATGAATTAATGCATCTTCCACACTCATAATCACAAACATCAAATATCTGCATTTCTTCATTCATATTCAAAAAATGTTTTATAAAAATAATGTAATACATTTATTTAACTAGAAACGTATCAGTGGGATAAAGTGTTGGGCTCTAAGGTTCCATTTCTAAAAATAATTATTTTTCTTATTACTAAGTAATTACCCTGAATGCTTTCAATAAAATATACATCAACCCTTTGTTTAGAAATCATAGTGGGTTTCATCTATTAACTATGTGTAAGACGCTAGCATAGGAGCACCATAATTATATGACGAGATATCAGTTCAGGTAGGGACTAAAATAGTTTGTTCTGCTTTTTTTGACATTAAAGCTGATCCCGGGGAATGTGCCTTCCCACAGTACTGTTTACCCCCACCTCCCTCTAATTAGCTGCAGGTTTTAAAATAAAACCTACATAAAAGCCCCCTTTACTAATTTTTAATGTGGGTTCACATGTTACGCCAGAAGTTTCCTCTCTTATTCACTACACAATATTTTGTACTTCTTATAGTGCCTACTTGCCTTGCCATTGGATAGGGGACCAGTTGGCTGCAGACACAGACTGCAGTGCTGGATCACTGGTGTCCACTCCAAAAAGAGGTGCCAGTAAGGAGCAATTTGATGGTAGATTCAGATAAGCACAGGTGTTAAAGGTCAATATTGGAGGCAAAATGTGAATGGGTGGGAGGTGAACCAAATTGTCCCCGAGATAGGATTTAATGGTCTGTACAGCTGTAGGGAAAAAGTCTTTTAGTCCTGCAAATTGTTCTGCAGAAATGGGTCCCCAAAATGTGCATTGATCTTCTTGCAAGTTATAATAATAAGAAACATTCTTCTTTATAAAAGCCTCAGTCATTTTACATTGACATATCTTTGCTAAAAGCATTGTTTCGTAAAAACAAATAGAGATAAAAATATGTCCTTTATTTTTAATAACTACTGGAATATGATTTATTGGCAGCTTCTCAAATTTAAAAAAAACATTACAACAATGAAGAGGTCTTTATGTATATAAAACTCCTTTAGTGTATGTGTAGTTCATTTACGTACCTGCATCACAACCTAATTTAACTGACTACTACAGATCAATATCCCCTCCTAATTGTAAATTTAAAAAAAACATTTTTAATAAATAGTGAAAGGACCTTACTAATCCACCAGATTCTTAGAAATCATCTAAGTGAACTACTTTCCAAATGATTCACAATTCACATATACCCCACATTAACTTGCCAAAAGTTGAACTATTATCATGTACTTGTTTGGAGGCTGAGATGACAAGAAGGCACAGGGAGTGAGAGGCCCCAAAGACACATGGGTGCCAGGACAAAGCTGGCAGGAAGGATGATCTAGTAGACATGCGGTGGGGTGGTAGGTAGCTAAAGAGGCAAACAGCAGGTAGGGTATTAGGCATCATGGTCACAGCAGAAGGTCAGCACAAAAGAGCCATAGTCAATATCTAGCTGAGATCATACTGGGAATGAGCAGAGACAAGCCATGGTCAGGAACAAGCCAAAGTCAAGCTGGGAATGGGCAGAGACAAGAAATGACCAGGAGCTAGCTGAAGTTAATAACAGGAAGGCAGAGCAGAGGTAAGCCAAGGACAGTCTAGGTCAGCAATGGGGAGACAGATCAGAAACAGGATTCAAGTTAAGACATGAAGACTATCCAGCAACATCTTAGCTCAGCACTGTTCCTTAAATAAGCCACCTGATGTCAAGCCTGCAATTAGGCATGTGCATACGCATGCCTGTACACTCATATATCGTGCAATGTGCCCTCATGGAATTGTGTGCTCCTATGATTTAGCATGCTCCTTTAAATTAGCCTGTGCATGCAATTAGTAAGCTCACGTAAACATGTGTGCACATGCAGCCAGTTAGAAATTACCCTTGTCCTGTGCATTGTCACATGTACACATCAACTTCTGATGCCATCCTGACAACTAAAAATAATATATGTCACAAGCCAAGTCTCATAATTGCAATTGCCACCAAGACCAGAAAGATATAATCCATTAACTGTAAGGTCTCTTCCTTCTCTGCAGATTGAAAATAAATGTATCCAGAATCACACAGAGGCCTTCATATTGCTTATATATTCCAAGGCACATCAGATGCCCCTAAAGAGAAGCCTGTCAGGACTTACCAGTGAATTATATTTTACTACTATATATTCCACATATAAGTCTTTGCAAGGCAGTAGTCCTTCTTGGGACTTGCCAACAGATTGATCACATATATTTCAACATGAAAACAACAAGTGCTTCTTAATGATTATAATTCTATTTCCCATAAGAGCATGTAGGAGATCACATTTTACATTTACTAAAAAGGTTAATTTTTGTCTCAGCTATCTTGTTGCAGTAGTGCTGTGAAATGTCCAGCTGGTCATTTGCAAACTGAAAGTGTATGTAAAGTTTATTTTTTAGTTTTAGATAGAGAAGGGAAGGGTTAAAACCACTACCTGGTTATTTTTTTTACTGCCTGTGTCCCATTAAGGAGATTTTCCTCCCTGTCCTAGAGACACAACAGGAAATAAGAAAAAAAATATCTCTAAAGGGAGCAAAATTCCCACTTAGAATTATGTTGATGTTGGGTGTAAGAAGATGTATCACCACTGCAGAATTTTCTATGACATTTTTCTCTGGTAACAACCCTTAAATTTTAGATCAGTGGGATAAAGTGTTGGGGTTTTGTTGACCTGCTATTTTCTGTCTTAGTGACAATGGTCACCAGCACATATAGAAGGGTGAATCTTCCCAGTGGGGACATAAATGGCAGTAAACACTTGCTGGGGTCTACTTTATCTGCACTTTATTAAAAACTGAAGAAAATATCTTACATACACTTTAACATTTATTCATTTATTTATTTATTTTGGCGAACACAACTTCAAAATTCTTCTTTTACTTTTCTTAAGGAAAATAAATGGTGAGATAAATACAGGGGCTGCTATTATTGACTGCCTTCTGAATACTAATTGTCTAGCAGTCATGACTGATCATATGATTTACCTACTTTCTGGGTCACTGACATGGAATATGCATGCAATTAGATATGGCAGAGAAAAATCAGAACCTTTGCATACTTTTTGCTGCTCAGTGTCTCAGGAAGTCCTATGACCATTAGATCAGCATTGTAGAAGATGAAGATCACCAGTACCCCAGAAGTAGCATTAATCCTTGTGCTTATTTATTGAAGTGGAACATCACAAACTTGATATAGCCAATGTTTTGGGGCCACGCAGGATCCCTTCATCAGGGCAACATAGTGACGGTTACTATGTTGCCCTGATGAAGGGACCCTGCGAGGCCCTGAAACATTGGCTATATCGTGTTTGTGATGTTTCACTTCAATAAATAAGCACAAGGATTAATGCTACTTCTGGAGTACTGGTGATCTTCATCTTCTACAAGTTTGATACCTACGGCACCATCTGCGACTATCACTGTGAGCACCATGGTTGTGCAGGTCCAATCACTGTATGAAGTGCAGGGGACACATCTGTATACTACATTAGATCAGCATGACATCCTGGGGAACTAGCATTGGCAGAAGGAGCAGTCTGTAATTGCAGCCTCCATGATTTTCTCAGCACAGGATTCCTTTAGGGTAGTCCCATGAATGCATATATTACCGAGTTAAAGTGACATTAAACCCTCAGATTTTTTAACATAAAACAATACTGTAATGTGTGCCTTACTGTAATCCATGGTAGTTTCCTTCTCTTTGATGCTCTTCCTTTTAAAACTGTATCTGTTCTCATGCTTGGAGAGAACTTCCCCTTTCAGCTCAGGGCCTCTTCCTGTAGTGCTGGCTCAGGTTACAGCCTATACACAGACACCGTGTGAGAGAAGGCAGTCTGCTGAAAAGGGAAGTTCTCTCCAAGCATGAGAACAGATACAGTTTTAAAAGGAAGGGCATCAAAGAGAAGGGAAACTACCATGGATTACAGTAAGGCGCACATTACAGTATTGGTTTATGTTAAAAAATCTGAGGGTTTAATGTCACTTTAAAGATATGCCTAGAGATCCTTTGCTGCTATCCTAGAACCCCTAATGTGTTTAGGTGTTTACATTTTGATTGTGGTGTGCTTGCATTGCACTAATCTCTGCATGATTTTCACTCCTAGGAAAAGTAGCACAGTAGAGTAGAGATTGTAGATTGATTAAAAGGTCCAATTGCCCTCTTTTCTAGAGTCCTTTATCCTGGTAGTTTACATATAAATTAATGACTGGTTACTTATTTTAACCAGTTAAGTTATGTAATTTATTTAACCAGTTGACATCCGCGGTGTTAAACACCCCTTTCATAGACGATCAGCGGGCTATGGAGCCGCCGATCGTCTATATGTGAAACACCCGGTAACGGGTGTTTGCATTGGTCGGGTCTTTTCTGCCCGTGCGTGCCCGCTAGGGGGCGTGCACGAGCAGAAAAAAATGCCGTCTGGAGACGGCAACCCGCCAATGCTGCAGTGCCGTCCGTCCGTTTTTTTACAACGGGCGGACGGCAAGTGGTTAATGCTACTCATACAAACTTTGGGATAATAATTGTTTTCCAGTCATTTGAACTTTAAACAGTAGCAGATATGTTTTAGACAGTTAAAGATTTTCAATCAAGCTGGAAAATCATTTCAACCAAAATCCCCCATTTTACCCGTTCTAATGCACATTTGTGAGCCTAGAATGCTGCAGTGTTATTTTTGTAAATCAATTAAAATAAATCCCTGAAAATGCAATAAATCATTCCAAAACCTGCTTGTATATAAACAAACATATCCTGCTAAGCATGGTTGAGAGCTACTATGTACACTACTTTTTATTTTCTAGAACTTTCATTGGCAATGTAAATAATAATTTGTACAGATTTAATAAGTAGCAT